TAAAGATATATATTAAATTGTAAGAGATTTCCAAAAATAGAACTCTAGCTTATAAAAATTAAAAAAAAACGGACGAAAATAGTAACTCTAGCTTATAAAATAAAACGGAGGGAGTACAAGAATACCAGTCTACAAGTTCATTAAGTACTACTGCCGCATTCATCAATTATACCACAAAAAAAAATGGTATTGAATGTTCATTACAATTTACAGTATTGCAACTAAAAAAAAAATAAAAACATTCCACAAATTACAAATTTTGATATGTAATTAGTCATACTATTAGTTGATGGTGTGATCAGTTCACATATAAAACAATTAATTGAGTAATAGGGTTACAACAAAAATCAAATGGGATTACCCCTACGGATGTAGGGTTACTCTTATTTATTAGTAGAATTATTCTTTTATTTGTCAAAATTAGAATATAGAGATTACTCGATTGAATAAATTGGGTTATAAACAAATGTACTCACTGATAATGAATTTGGGTATCCTTATGCACAAAATTAGGTTACTTTTATAAATAAACAAGGTTACTTAGCTCGTACAAATTATTAAAGGAAACTTTTATAAACAAATATAGTCACATTTTGTAGCTGCCAAACAACACTTGCCTTTCACAAATACCAAAAAATAATAATCTCTCTATACCTGCTCCATTTCTGTGGACACGAAGTTTTCGGAGGAATAGTAGAAAGACTAGACACTATCATTTTATGATGGAAGTGGGATTGGTTGGCAAATAAAAAATTTAAAAAAATAAAAGTGAGTATAAATGGAGAACAGAAAGAATATGAAAATTATAAAAATATGATATAAGGAGACCATTAATGGCGAGAAAATTAGTAAAATATTGTTTAAAATTTTCAAAAAATGAAAAATGGAGCAAGTAATAAATTACGGCTTCAAACAGAAAGTGAAGCAACTAATAACATACAAAGGAAATACAAAGGGGTACTAATTATGATAAAGAAAAGTGGCCAACTACAGTCCAAATCCGGTAGGGGCGCTTTGTTTGGTCCAAATCTAAAGTTCTATCACTGTAGTAAAGTACGGCTATATTGCCACTAATCATTATTGCTAATTTACTATTTGCCACAGAAGAAAAAGAAAAAAAAAAAGATTAAAACAACTTGCAAAACACTTTAAGCCCACTAGAAAAGAAATCAAGCTAAGACTTATATATATATATATATATATATATATATATATATATATATATATATATATATATATATATATATATATATATATATATATATATATATATCCATTAAACATTGCTAAATGTCAATCATTTAAGGCAAAATATACAAACTACCCACCATTCTCCTACCCAAATTAAGCACACAGCATAGACTGAAATTATGAAGATCCAGAAATACCAATTCCAATTAATGTTCATATATATGCTATTGTTTTCCTACCAAAGGTATGCAATAGCAGAGAGAAAGCATGTTAATCGAGAGAGAAAAACTTACATTGTACATATGGACAAGTCCCACATGCCAGCAAGTTTCAAAGACCATCATGAGTGGTACTATGCGTCACTTAAATCTGCTGCAGACTCTGCAGAGATGCTCTACACCTACAACAGTGTAATTCATGGCTTTTCGACGAGGCTGACTGAACAGCAAGCTAAATCACTAAAGAGCCAACCAGGGACTCTCTCTATTGCGCCTGAAACAAGATACGAGCTCCACACAACACGAACACCTGAGTTCCTGGGGCTAGGGCTAGATGAAAGTGATCAGCTCCTACCAACCTCAACTTCACAGAGTAATGTGATTATAGGACTGATTGACACAGGTGTGTGGCCAGAACTTAAAAGCTTCGACGACATGGGGCTAGACCCTGTGCCTAGTAGCTGGAAGGGTGAGTGTGAGGAAGGTAAAAACTTCAAGTCCTCACACTGCAATAGGAAACTTATAGGTGCAAGGTTTTTTTGCAAGGGGTATGAAGCTATTCAAGGACCAATTGATGAATCAACTGAAAGCAAATCACCAAGGGACGATGACGGTCATGGTACCCACACAGCAACTACAGCAGCTGGTTCAGCCACTACTAGCGCTAGTCTTTTTGGATACGCAAGTGGGACAGCTCGAGGCATGGCTCCACATGCCAGAATTGCAGTATACAAAGCCTGCTGGCTAGGTGGGTGCTTTACCTCTGACATATTAGCTGCAATGGAGAAGGCAATTGATGATGGAGTTAATGTATTGTCCATGTCTGTTGGAGGCAGCATCTCTGACTACTACATGGACACGGTTTCTGTAGGAGCTTTCTCTGCAATGAGAAAGGGGATCTTGGTATCCTGCTCTGCCGGAAATGCTGGACCCGACTCTGGTAGCTTGTCTAATATTGCTCCATGGATAACCACTGTGGGCGCTGGTACAATAGACCGTGATTTCCCGGCATATGTTACCCTAGGAGATGGGAGGAATTTTACTGGTGCATCACTTTACAGTGGTAAGCCTCTTCCCAACAAGTTATTATCCCTTATTTATGCAGGGAAAGCAAGCAACATGACAAATGGCAATTTTTGCATGAGCGGCAGCTTAAATCCTGCAGATGTTTCTGGGAAGATTGTTGTGTGTGATCGAGGGGGAAATTCGAGGGCCCAAAAAGGTCTAGTAGTAAAGAGGGCTAGTGGTGTGGGTATGATCTTAGCAAATTCTGAAGCCTATGGAGAAGAACTAGTAGCTGATGCCCACCTCATACCTGCAGCTTCTCTTGGACAAAATGAAGCTGATGATATAAAGAAGTACATCTTATCCGATGATAATCCAACAGCAACCATTGGTTTTTCAGGGACAGAGCTAGGCGTGAAACCATCTCCAGTTGTGGCATCATTCAGCTCCAGAGGTCCCAATCCACTTACTCCAGAAATACTGAAGCCTGATTTGATTGCTCCAGGTGTCAACATCCTGGCAGGCTGGACAGGCAGGGTGGGCCCAACTGGGTTGGAGAGTGATGCAAGGCATGTGAGCTTTAACATCATTTCAGGAACATCTATGTCATGCCCGCATGTAAGCGGTCTTGCTGCACTAGTGAAGGCTGCCCATCCAGAATGGAGCCCTGCAGCCATCAAATCCGCCCTTATGACTACAGCATATACAGCCTATAAGAACGGAAAACCAATCATTGATGTTGCCACAGGACTTCCATCAACACCATTTGATCATGGAGCAGGGCATGTGGACCCTATTGCAGCCCTTGATCCAGGCCTCGTCTACGATGTCACAGTCAACGACTACATTGACTTTCTATGTGCTCTAAACTACAGCTCAGACCAAATTAAGCATACCACTTCCCAGGAATCCAGCTGTTCCTCAGGCAAGACTTACAGAGTCAGAGACTTCAACTACCCTTCATTAGCTGTCAATCTAGAAACAGCATCAGAAAATGGAGACGATAGGGCAGTGAACTCTGTCAAATACACCAGGACCCTTACTAATGTTGGATCGCCAGGAATATACAAAGCTTCAATGTCCGTGCATAATGGCTCAATAAAGGTTAGAGTGGAGCCAGAATCACTGAGTTTCAACAGAATGAATGAAAAGAAGAGTTTCACAGTCACAGTTTCAGCTGATTCCATGCCCTCTGGCACCACCAGTTTTGGTCATCTGACATGGTCAGATGGGAGACATATAGTAACTAGTCCAATCACTTTTACATGGACATGAGAAAAGTGCAACATGAGTGTTGCAAAGGGCCATAATCCCCGTTTCCTATACTTAATTATTCTCACCTCTTGTTTCGATTTTCAGCAAGATAAACAAAGTTTACAAGTACTTAATAATCAAAATGTGTACGCAGAACAAATGTATAATTTCATTGGACTGAACTGTGGAGGAGTAATCTAGCAATTCAACTCTGTATTACCACATATACCTGCACAATGAAATGCTAAATGGTTTGAATTAACCCAGGTACAATTCCTTTACATTTATTATATATAAAGAGATCATCAAAAATGTTAATAGCTAGACAGAGTAACAAAAGAACAGTTTGGATGTAAAGAGACAATGGAGATGTTAATAGTAATATAGAATAACAAAAAGAGGAATATGAAAATATCAGGGCCCAAGTAATTTAAAGTTTCCTCCAGTTAAAAAAATAAAAGAAAAAAGGAAAAACTGAACAGAAAAAAATGTAAACATCCTCAATCTAACAAACAAAAGATACAGCAAGATATCATCTACAAAATCAGAACTTATGCTAGACTTCAACAGTACAATTTGGAATTGAAAAGCTAATTACTCATTATATTCAAGCTCTCGAGTGCAAAAGAATCTTTAAAATGCTCCAAATACAATATTCAAGCTCTCGTATGCAAATTAATCATCACCCAACAGACATGAAATGCTCCAAACCCAATAATATAGCAATACATCTTTTGGATTTTCCACAATTAAGAAAAAGGTCACCATAACATTTCATTCATTCGATATCTCAAGTGATTGACGTATTAGATAGCTAACCAACATCACCTAAGTTTCAGTAACCCTTCCCTCGATCAGGGTTACCAGGGTTACCTAATATGTAGTCCTAATTTAATTTTCACTTTGACACGTCAGGATATACTTGTCACATTTTCATTTATATAGCATGGACCAACTGATATTATTATTACCTCTCTCTTCCCGCTACCAAAAGTTAAGAGTCCTCAAATGAACAACATTTCTATTAAAATAAAATTAGTAAGTACCAATATATGTGTTCCCAATACACAATTAACAGGGGGAACCAGAATATTAGGAAACATTGCCCCCAAGGCCCCAACAGTAACAAAGATAAGGCATGCAGGGGGTTGGTACTTATAAGTGAATTTTATTAGTGCAGATAATAAATCAAAAAACAGTGGTGTAAAAAATAATGTAATCTAACTTATCTCAGTGTTTTCCAATAAACACAGGTTTATATCTACCAGATAAGGACAACTTCCCCAATAGTCATTAAATCAACAATGTCGATGAGCAACTCACTGATAACACTTTGATAACAGTCCAATAAATTGCTCGATTATCAAAGTATGAAACCCATACAATTCAAGGCAGGACACATGAATGAAAATCAACTCGTTTCATTCATAGTAATAGTTGGTAACAATTAGAAAAGCTTCTGATACTACACATTGATAAATTAGCAGGACTGATAAGTCACCAACTATATAGGTCAAACAATGTTCATTAAAAGACATTACATAAACGCCATGCAAAAACACTTACTTCAGAAGTCACACAGAATCATCTGTGTAATGGCAAACAGGAAGGTAGTACATATCTAATTGCCAGTATTTCTGTAATACACCTTTCCAGACATCCTCCGCGAGGCAATCCTTCACAGGCAAGGGAATTAACTGTGTAGTATATCCCAGGTTTTCAAGTTCCAATGAAACTATATTGCAGTAAACAACATGGAAGAACGCGTTATCTCCACAAAGACCATTGAAGAAAGAGTAAATACCCTCAGGTTTCAACAGTTTAGGAAGATGTTGGTGGAATTCTCTCATATCTTCATAGTATTCTCCATATGTATCGAAGAATATACCTGAATTAAAAATATCAAGACTATTAAAACAGTGAAAGCCAAAGAACAGACTAAGAATATCAGAGTACAGAAGCAAACAAAAAGGAATCATCCCCACAATGAGTTACAATCAAACCATGATATAAGACCTCAAAAATATCAAAAAAAAAAAAAAAAAAAAAAAAGCAGAAAGTAAAGTGTATCAACTTTAAACACTATGATGATCAAGTCTAGTCTTTCATCATGCATTGCTGGCAACTTGCACACAACCTAATAATGATAGGAGCATGATACATACAATATCCAAAGTGATGGTTTAACACTATCTACATTGTGTCTTCAGCCAATATTCTGTCAGTACAAAGGAATTCCATCAACCAACTCATTGCTGCTTCTATATTTAGCAATGCAAGGTGTAGAGTCGACCTTGGCCATGGCCACATATGCCACACTGGCATTTAAGGCCTTGCAAAGATTGCAAACAGTGAAAGAAACTACGATATATAAATTACACACGCTGAAAAGCTAGAAATGTTTATAAATGAATGAATAGCATTGACCCTCAAGATATTGTCATAAGAGGGGAGAAATATAAAATGTTTTTAAGAGCATGTTACCATCATAAGATTCAAGTTGGGGAAGTACATCTTGCCACCGACCAAACAAAATCTTCACATTTTCTTTCTCACCCCAGCCATTTCTAAGCATACGGTCATAAACCTCTGGGTGAGCCTCAACAATAGTATGTGAAATAGGATTATATTGCTGGATGGCCATATCTACCAGACCCATTCCGAATCCAATATTCAACACATGGCCTCCACCAGAGCAAATGGCTTTTGCATGAGACTCCATTAATGGTTTCTCCCATGCCATCATAACAGCCTTGCTATCTGCATCCATCAGCTTGTCCTCGCTAAAGATAACTCTATCCTCCAAGTAACCCGCATCTGAATGGCCATCTTCTTTTGCATTTCTTGCAATGGTACCAAGGATCAATTCAGCTTGAACCCCTGCTCAAGCAATATAATTAAAAATTCTAAACCAGATAAATCAAAAGATTAAAATTAACATCACATGTCTACCAACACTCAACAGACCGTAAATGACTCATTGGAATATATCAACAATCTCAGGTAATGTATAAAAACATTTGATAAAAACAACAAGTTCATCATCATTTGCATATATCTGGTTTATAGGAAGCATTTTATAGGGATATTTCAGGAAAGGAGAAAAAACAATTTTCCTGCATTGACTAGTATTCGGTTCTGTTCTCTTGAATTTCCTATCAACACTTACGTTAAAAAGGTAAGTAAATCGGCTGTCCCCTAACCGGTTACCATTTTGTTATGGCCAACAGTACCACTCACCATTTTCCAAATTCCACAATCAGCTCCCCCCCTCCCCTCCTTTCTGTCTATCATCATCCCCACCCAGTCCTAAAGATGTATTTTGTTCAACTTATTCTAACTTATTTCAAACAAAATAAGTGAAGATAAGCTTGGAGAAATAAGTTTTTTTACGCAATATTAGACAATTTACATACAGATAAGACAAAATAAGGAAAAGAAACATTTCAGACAAATTTTTTCAAATAAAAATAATTTTGAACCAAACAGAGCCTAAACCTGATTATTAAGTAGGTTAGTCCGAGAAATAGAGGGTCAAGTCAAAAAAGGGTCATTTCATAGTAGGCCAAAATCAGTAAATCACTTTGGTCAGGTAGCCAGTAAATAAGCAAAGGAAAAACGAGGGATGAGAGCGATAAAAACATGTAATACTAGCAATTTTTAGATTTTTACTCCATTTGTTTCCAGTGAGGCAGAAGTTAATGTCTTTTCTTTCACTTCGTCAATATCATATCATGTCATATTAGATAAAGACCAGCAATTCAAATGTGGTAATTCAAAAAATAATCCACCTGCGTAATTAAGCTTGAAAGATATAATTAAAGATCATGCCTCAACAAGCATCCAAGATCATAAAGATATGGATGGATATATATTCCTTTTTAATCTACCAGTTTGTTCGGATTTTTGGTTCCTAGAAGGGGGTTATCTTAAGGCCCTCTTTCAGTTTAGAGTTTTATGCTGTTTTGTGTAGTCATAAAGTGGTAAGCTTAAATGTTGTAGGCCTGGTAGCTTTCCTACCTGCAGAGTTATGATTTTTTTCCGGGTATTATAGCTTTAATTTTAATTGTCAAAAACAATACCTTAAACTATATATGCACACACAAATTTGGACGTAAATTTCCCTTACTAATTCTAATGATTCGAACAAGCTCTAGGAATCACTAAGGTGGATGCATCTGCATCACCATAAGAGTTCCCAATATAAACAACCAAGAAAGCAAAGAGAGCTTGATGGCTTGGTTTTCTCTGAAGAAGCGACATAATAAACCATTCATAAGTCACCAGACTTTCTATAAGCATCAACACGCTCAATGTCAACAAGCGCAAAATATGAGGCGAAGAGATAATGTTACACCATCTCTTCAATAGAAAAATAATACTTCCTCCGTTTTTCTTTTATTGCACCATAAAGACTTTTACACTATCTACTTAATCTTCTTTGACCATCTTTTGTGATTTATCCATCAGAAAAAACATTGTCATGTGGAATCTAGTTAAATTTGTCTCGAAATCTACTTTTCAAATATCAATTTTTTATATTTTTTACAAAGTATAATTAAAGATATTAATAGCCAACGTAATGCATTGACAAGCGTGAAATTCCTCATGGTGCAATAAAAAAAGAACGTAGGAAGTATTATTTATTCAGAGTAACAAAGAAGAAGAAAGAACCAAAATTACATTAATAACATATAGTTTTATGAGCTTTTATGGCCCCTCTTTCAAATATTTAATGCCAATAGGCTGGATTAGAATAGTAAAGCAACACTAGATACCATGAAAATCACAAGCATGGCAATCAAACAAGACAGTAAGAAATCAATCTCCTTGAAGTTCCTCCTATCAAGAAACTTCAATATATCATTGGGACATGACTAATATGATTTGATATTGCAGAGTGAAACTAGGAAAATTTTCCAATTGTCTTACTCTGTAGTCTCCAATTACATCACTTGACAAAATCAACACACACAATCACGTATAATGTTCAAAGAATTTCAGGAAACAATGTAGACATTAACACCTAAATTGTCCCTTCATCTAAAAGATACATGATGGTACAACACCCAACATCTCACCTTCCATGTTTAACTACCATGTAACACCAATCCTAGTTGGTCTCCTATATCATAAACTAGGCTACTCAAAAATTTACGATAACTTGAAGTCATTCACAGGGTTGTAGGGGTGCAATCTTTTTACCTTAAAATTATACTTCTTCCATTCCTCTAATATTGCAATAATTACCATAAGTTCTACAAATATTGCAACATTAGCATATTTGCACATGTTTTCTCTATATCTATCTTATTTATTTTTCTCTATATCCCTTCTCATCTTAATTATTGTGTCTTCCCTCTCGTCGCAATATGAGGGGAACGGAGGAATCAAGTTTTAGGGATAATCAGGTCTATGATCAATTCCAATCAGGTGTAAATATATGGTGAATATCAGGGATAATCAAGTCTGATAGGTCAAGTACAAGTGAGAATAATGAACGGTAAAAATTAAGACGATCATTTTTCCATCAACAATGAATCGACTAATAGATAGGAAAAACTGCTTCCAACCTATTATAACAATTAACAATTACTAATAAACATGCTATAACTTACATACATAATCAAGGTAATAAACATAGAAATGTATTGAGTAACAATTAGCAAATGAAAGAAAGAAAAAGAGGAAGGTACCGGTATTGAGAAGGATGTCGAAGGCATCTTGGTGACCATTCTGCATTGCAAAATCACCAGCACAGAGAGAAGAAGGAGAAAGAGCATTCCAAGGAGCGCCGGCTTCAAGAATCTTACGGACGACTTCAGAGTGACCAAGCTTTGCGGCATGCATCAATGGAGTTAGGCCTTCAGCATCGAAGTAAGTGACGTCATATCCGGCATCAATGAGAGATGTAATGCCTGCTAAATCACCCACCCTCGCCGCTTCGCATAGTTTCTCTCCTTTTTCTTCCATGTCTGCGCTTAATCAACTCCCTTCCACCCTATTCATTGCCCACACAATGTCAATATTATTAGACGGCCCTTATAAAAAAATTTATAATCCTATTTTACCCTTATTTTATTTTACTCCTAACTATATAAATAATTAAAATGTGCATGAGCTAATGAACGGGTTATAATTAAGGATATGATTAAAAAAATACAAAGTATATGAATGCAGATAGCCTTTAATAAAACCAAAAATTCTAACAACAAAAACCACACACAAAAAGAAAAAATGATTATAAATTAAAAAAAAAAATTGATTCCATAGAAAAATAGTCTTGAAATATCCTCTAAATGAATCTAATTCTTCAATTTGATTGTCAGCGCATCTCTTGCTTCAAGTAGCAGAATTCTTCCTCACATCTTACTTGTAAAACAGATGCAACTATGATATCATCATTTCCTATCTCAAGAACATGTAGTATGAAAGTGAATGTATTCATCAGACGTTCACTAAGATACTCCTTTAAAAAAGTAATCTCCAAATTCCTGATCATAAATAACATATTTAGTCATTATGCAGGTGTGTATTTCCTTAATATATAATTAAAGGGTATACTTATATTATTTGTCATGGCTTGAATACTTGATGCTCCATCCGTTTCACAATGTTAGTCCTATTTGAATCTTTTGACTATTAAAAATTAGAGAGAATTATCTAAATTCACTAGTAGAAAAAATGAAATAGGCACTGCACTTTTCGCACCGGTTCTTGGAGACCGGTGGGAAAAGAAATGGGCGGGATTGGGAAAAAGACTTTTCGCACCGGTTCCTAATAAACCAGTGCGAATTAAAAAAGAGAAAAAAAAACAAAAAAAAAAGGGAGAAAGGGATTTCGCACCGATTCAGACCAAACCGATGCGAAATAGTGATTTAGCACCGGTTCAAACCGGTGCGAAATTAAAAAAAAAAAAAAAAAAAAAAACACTAGGCTCGCGTATTTCTTCTTCTTCCTTTCTTTCCCCCTGCTTTTCTATCTTCTTTTTTCCCTCATTCTCACCTTCTCTTCCACCACCTCCGAATTCCCACCTTCTCCATTAAAGTCGTTTATGAGCTTTCTCACTCCATTGAAGCAGCCGCACCTCCTTCTATCTCCATATCTCTCCTCCATTGAACTCGTGCTCTTTATTCTCTATTGAAGCGAATTCCGAGCTTTCTCACCTCCTTGAAGCAGCTTCGAGGTAAGATTTTTGTTGTGGTCTTCTTAATCTACCGAATTCCTTCGCAATCTAGGGTTTGTTGTTGATTTGGTTTTCAATTTCGTAATTTTAGGGTTCTGGTTTTATTTCTATTTTTTGTCGAACAAAATAAGTAGGAGAAGGAGAGAGTAGGTCCTACCCGCCGCCACTCACCCTTCGCCGGCCACCCTCCGTTTCCCTCAGCCGTCCTTCGTGCGTCGGCCACCGACCACCAGGTAATGGTTTTTCCTTTTTTTCGTTTTTAAAAAAACATTGCTAACCCTAACCCTCAATTGCTCAACCACCTAGATCCACCGCCTCAGACCACCCACCCGCCGGCCACCCAACGACTTAGATCACGCACTGACTAGCAAGTATGCCTTCCACCTATTTTTTTTTTAATTTAGTTTCAATTAATTAGCCATAAACCCTAAGTTTTTTAATTTTAATTTTTTTATTCGATCATTTGTAGGAATTGTAGATTTAGTTTGTTTGCTCCTTAAAAAAGAGTTCAAATTCAAAGGTTAGTGGCTATTTTTTCCAATGCTCTTATAGTTTTATATATGTGTTAGTTATAAGTAGCAAAAATGGTACAAAATGATCTTATTTTTGGTGTGTTTTGGGGATGTAACTATAGTATTCCATAGAAGTTCATTATAACATCAAATCTCGTTCAAAAAAAGTTTGTTATTTAGTTGTTATTTTTATTCTTTGTATTAGTTGTTGCTTGAGTTTGTTAGGCTTAATTGCCGTATTAAATAGTGCTAATGGGATAGGGGGAGAGTATCCAGAATTTGTTGTTGAAGTGAGTTGTGGAGAGAACCTTCCTCTCGAAAGAAGGCCCCTGTATTATGATTACTCTGGTTGTAATACACTTATCCCTTAGCTGCTATCTTCTATTTCTGTTTTTTTTTTCTTGCATACCCTGTTTTCATATCCAAATCCTAGCATATTGCATGCTGTATGCTTGTTTTGATGCCCTTTGACGTTAAAGTGTTGAATAATCCTGCCGCTTTTGAGTGAAAAGGTTGTAGGGTGTAATGGACTGGATTTTCTGGGTTTCTAATTCTGATTTAATAATGCAAGTAAATAAAGATTAAAGCTCGAATTTTGATTGATAACAGCTGAAAGGTTACAAAAGGATAGGTTAATAGCTTTAGGCTATCACTCTCAAAATAGCTTTAGGCCATGACTCTCTAAGGTTTCCCTTCAACAATCCTCTCATGAGCGATTGAGGATGATGTAATGATTCAAACTCGGATGCTGACAATCTGATATGGGTTTTCTTAATTGTCCTTGAAATAAAGTTTCTGTTTGAAAATTGAAATTGTGCATCTACAAATTTTGATTTGGCAGATTTGCTTTTATGTTATAATCAATATCTGTCGTGCTATGTTTTTACATGCCAAGAAGTAAAACTTAGTCATTGATTACATAACTAGAGGCTAATTTTATCAATGTGCTTTCACTAGAGAAAAAGATTTTGATGAAGAAGGTAGGAAAATAAAATTCAAAATTTGCAGGCTCTCTCTTTTCAACTGCAAGCTACGTGGTGCATCGTTTCTTGTTTCACCAGATCTAGTAGGTTATTAATGAGATCCTGCATTTGTGCAATCCATGAGTGTGACTACTTAAATTTTGTGCAAGAACATGATCTCTCAATCCATGAGTGTTCTGCTTCTGGTGTTTCAAAGGCAAGAAACTTGTTTGAGCGTGCTCTTATAGCTGCTGGCTTACGTTTTTGTGAAGGCAGTAAAATATGGGAAGCTTACAAAGAATTTGAGCAAGTTATATGCCTTACAATTGATGATTCTGACATCGAGGTTTGTTTTGTGATCTTTATATGGTCTTACATCATGGTTTACCTTTTTCTACTGTACTGTTTTTATACATGTATCTGTTCCTCAGTTATCCCACTTGGAAGTTTAGATATGCTCAACATTTCAAAGTTCATGTGGCTACGGATTATGTCACATACTCATGCATATCACTATTTACTTGAATAGCTCATGCTTATGAAATAAAATGAATTCCACATGGTGGATATCTTTAGAATATGGTAAACCTCATGATAGAATTATGAAGGTGAATGATACAAACATGTGATGTAGATAGAAGGCACCATATTGTCCGGGTTTCAAGCTATTTAGGTCGTTTAAATTGTTTACTTGTTTAGTGATGCTGAAAAGTGGCATATTGCCTCTGAATCCCTCTTCATGTTTCTCTCACATATTGATAATATAAGTCGCTTGAATCTGAACCAAACGCTTATGAACCCAAGAATATTTGGAATACAATTATAAATTTTTTTGATGCCTTTTATAGGTTTTCAAGGCCTCACACAGTTATAGGAACAGTTAAGTTTTCTAAGGTTTCGACCTTTTCATTGCCTTATTAATATGTCACATCTCTTCATTCCTTCTGATTCTACTTGTATGCCTATGCTGTTGAAATTTATGATTATATAACTTGGATGTTTTACTTTTTTCTAACAAGCATTGAGCATAGTTTCAGTTTCTCTACTTGTAGTGCAGAAGCTTTCAGATTTTTCTCCTATATTTTTCACTTGAATGTTAGAGGTAATGCTAGATATATGTGTTTACAGTCCTAGGTATATTGAAAGGAATGGTGTCCTTCCAACAAGTGTATTATTCTGATAGAGGGTTCAGAATTATTACAGAGCTAATTCTTCAGTAAGGTCAAGTGATCGGAATGCCTAGGTGGAGGCCGCTTCCGATCAGTAATATTAAGGTATAATTAATATTACGGCTTAATCTTAACTGAACCCTTCGGGTCGAACCTAATCGAACAACCGATCCGAGACGACAAATCAATCCGAAGGATTTAATGAGTCGTCGGAGTTTTACGAACACAGACGTCGGATATCGAGCCTAGGGCGTCGAGACCGAGTGTCGCAAAATCACAAGCAACAAGTACGAGCATAACCGTAGCATCACATTGGCCTAGCCATGTGAAGTGCTAGGCTAAGCTAGCTCATCGCAAGCCTAGGCGCACCATGTGTGTGCTAGGTGTGCCCTAGGTGCTATCGCAGCCCATCGCACAAGCACAACACTATTGCAATGCTAGCACTTGCGTGTGTGTGCCTGTGCGTATGCCTAGGGCTATCGCAACCTTCGCACAACTCACCATTGCAAGCTCTAGCTCAAGCCTACGCATAGCACAACACTATCGCATGATTGGGCCAGTGCGTGTGTGCGTGCGCGTGTAGGGCATCGCAATAGCACCACTAGCCTCACCCAGTGCGCATGCGTGTGCGTTGGCTAGGAAGCAACAGCACTAGCGACGCCCAGCGCCTAACAGCCAGCATCACGCAACACGCATGTGCTGGCCGGGGGCTATGCGAGAGGGCAGTGCGTGCTGGCCAGCAAGCAGCAGTAGCGATGGGAGCCTCGCCCAGCAGCCTAGCAGCATGCGTGGCTCGCTAGCAGCACACATGTGCTGGTTGGTGCGCATTGCGTGCTGGGCAGTGATGCGGTGCAGGCTAGCTGTGCTGGCTGGTGCACGCTAGCATGCTAGCTGGCTGCCAGCCCAGCAGCCATTCCTTGAAGCCGATTTTGTGAGGGGTGGGGACCAACCCTTGGGCAAAGCCTTGGGGAGCAAGGCAATGGTCCCCCCTTTACTCTTGGTCCTCACCTAACTCTCTCTCTCCCCTTGACTCTTGTTTCATATTGATTGCCTTGATTAATTATTTAATTTAGAATTAAATAAATTATCAATTTGATTCATTCTCCCACATTGGTTGGGGAATGAATATCAAGGGTTCATTTCCCTATAAATACCAAGGCTTGGGTATTTGGGAACACACTTGAGTGGAATAGTAAAGGAAACTCCATTGT